TGCCTCACTGCATTGTACATCATCTTGTAAGGCAAGGGATGTACCATTCTTTGCTTGTGGACCCAAAAGGGAGGGATAGATATTGATCTGCCCAAAGAGCAATTGGTTTCCTTCCATCAAAAGACCTAGTGGGGTTGGAGCCCTGAAGTCGAGATTGTGAGGACGAAGCATATGAGCATTTCAGTGCAATATGACTTGGATAATTTAAATGATATAAATGAATTTAAATGACTCAAATTACTAATTAAACTTAACTTGCAAATTATTAACTCAAATATTTATAAGAATTTCTTTTATGACTGCAAATTAACCAAGATTTTAAAAATGTTTAATGACATGAACACAAAAAAGCCAACAGTAGACACCAGAACCTCCTTGAGAGTGAAGGGTGAGACGAACATAACGAAGGAAAAACTACCTATCGGGTGTTATATGCTTATTACCTGGGCAACGAAGTAATCTGTGCAGTAAACCCCTGCAACACTCAATTTACCTATATAAAAATCTACACATGTACCCCCTGCACCTAAAATAAAAGTTGAAAAGAAAGAAAAAGAAACGGACTAATGTGCGCATGCATGCCCACACACACACACACACACACACACACACACACACTCTCTCTCTCTCTTAATGAAGTCTAGGTATTTTATCTAATGGCAGAAAGATCAAATGAGAAAGGCATAAAATCAGAGAGAAACCAAGGATCCCCATTTTTTCCCTCTGTGCATGTGTTAGTACGTATATGTAGAAATGTGTTTCTATTTGTAAACCATCTGAAGGTATACTTCCAAAAGTCTGCTTTGTGCTCTGCTATTCCCAGTTGCCATGTCACATGATGTAGGAAAACATTGTGGTGGTAATCCAAAAATATTTATATTTCATATTCTGACCACATAAAAACTCAAGGCAGTAAATGTTCATTTACTCCAGTAATTTAATGGGTGAGTACATATTCATGACATTGGTGGTTTTGTAGAATATCTCTCATTTTGAATTTGTTTTATTGTTTCCTCATGTTTGAAATCAAAACCCCTAATACAGAAATAAGAAATAAACTAATGAAGCCAGAATGGGAAAAGGAAGGAGAGATGAACTAGAGAGAGAAAAGAGGGAGCAGAGAAAGAGGGAAAGAGAGAGGCAAACTGATTTTCTGTTAAAATATTTATCAAAGTGGAAGAAAAAAGGATCAATGCAACAATAAGAGATCTTAATACCCAGATACATAAGACCCATAATGAGATTTAGACTCAACGAGACAGAAAATTAATAAGGATATCCAGGACTCCAACTCAGATCTGGAACAAGTAAACTCAATAAATATTTATAGAGTTCTCCATTTTAAATACACAAAATATTGATCGGCCATTATTAATACCCATTTTTAGAATGAAGCAATATTCCTGTTCTCTCTCCCTCTTTTTCTTCCTCTTTCTGCCTCTCCTTCTCTCCTTTTTTTACTTTTCAACATCCTAGTTCCTCACCTCTACTCAATACATTCCTCTGAACACCTGATTCCTTGTGATTCTCCCATCCCACTGAAACCTCCAATCCATTAAAAAAAAAAAGAAAGAAAGTAAATGTGTGACCAGATTCTAGAAGGAATTTTCATGAGAAGAACAATAAAATTGACCTGAATAGGGCAATTAGTGTCCCATAAATGTTATGTTATCAGATATAGAGAATACCAAAAAGTTGGCAGAGAAACCGTCTTTCCTTTTTCTGTTTCTTGGTTAGAAAACACACAATAAAAAAAAAAAAAAAAAAAAAAAAAAAAAAAAAAAAACAGTGGAAGAAAACAAAGTCTCTGTAGATTTATGTTCAGACTATATTGATAAGCAAATATATGGAGTGGTAAGTGGGGGAACATGGTAGTTAAAGAGAAGGCATCTGAAGTACAGTTGACACTTGGACGAGGTAGGTGTTAGGGGTGCCAATCCCCTGTGTGGTCAAAAATTTAAGTATAACTTTCGACCCCGCCAAACTTAGCTACTAATAGCCTATTGTTGACTGGAAGTCTTATCAATAACACAAAGAGTTGATGAGTAAATATCTTTGTCTTATATGTATTACATATGGTATTCTTATGTAATAAGTAAAATAAAGAAAATATAAGGAAGAGAAAATATATTTACTATTCATCAGGTGGAAGTGGATCATTACCATTCATCAGGTGGAAGTGATCATTCATCAGGTGGAAGTGGTCATCTTCATGTTGAGTAGGCTGAGGAGGAGAAGGAGGAAGACGGGGGCATTGGTCTTGCTGTCTCAAGGGCAGCACAGATAGAGGAAAATTCATGTACATGGCATTTTGCTTAGAGGCAAGGGAATAAGCCTTGGAAGCTCTGGTGTGTTACCAAGTTAAGTGTAAAATCCAGAGGGGTGAAGAATTTGAATTCAAACTAGTTCTTTTAGTTTATACATAAATTAATGAGATAATGCAGTTTACGTAATATATGTAAACCAGTTTTTTTGGTGTCATTTAGTACCAGCAGATTCATTCCTTTAAAACCCTTCACCAGGCCAGGTGTGGTGGCTCACACCTGTAATCCCAACACTCTGGGAGGCCAAGGCAGGAGGATTGTTTGAGCCCAGGATGTGGAGACCAGCCTGGATAACATGGCAAAACTCCATCTCTACAAAAAATACACACATTAGCCAGGCACTTCTGCTTCTAGTAACTCAGAGGCTGAGGTGGGAGGATCGCTTGAGCCCAGGAGGTGGAGGTTGCGGTGAGCCATGATCATGCCACTGCGCTCCAGCCTGTGCAACCAAGCAAGATTCTGTCTCAATCAATCAATCAATAAACAAACAAACCCATTACCAGACTCCCAAATTAAAAATGATCTTAAGGATTTAACAGAAATATGTAAACACTACTTCAGACACATGAGAATATAGTCTATTTTTAAAAACCTGCAAAACAGAGATTCATGAACCACATTTTAAAAAGACTTCCATGAAAGCTCTTCAGAAAAAAATATTTTCAAGCTGTCGAAATAAAGAAAGAAAGAAAGAAAGAAAGAAAGAAAGAAAGAAAGAAAGAAGAGAAGAACAACAACAACCACCAGACAATCATCAAGTATCAAGGGCTAAGAATAGTTAAAATAAGTTTTCTGATTTGCCGGTGTGTCTGCCACGTTAAATACCTGCTTCTTCTCCACCCCTTCTCCTAGCTACCATATAAATAAAAAAGGGGGATGTGTAATTATAGGGTTCTGCTAAGAAATTGCAGCATTCAAATGATTTTTGCTGTAATTTATTGGAAATTTCATATGTTCATTCCTGACAGTTTTTGGATTTACTTGGTAAGGGCAGAATCGTAGAAAAACAAATAGAGTTCCCGAGTAGGAAAGGTACTCCATTTCCTGTTCATGGTTAGGTGACCCTGATTACTGTCCTTGGAGTCTTGGGCCTCTTACCCGGTGAATAATTAGGTACTGAATCAGGGAGGTACAGACTCATTTGCTTGGGTTTGTTTTCTGGGAGTTCCTGTTTAACATTCCTGAACTGGAGCAGAAGTAGTTTTTGTAGCTGGGTTTTCTGAGCCTCAGAGGAAGCTGAGAGTTGTTGAGTTCTCAAGTTTTGTGATGCTTGTTATTAAGTGAAATTATGTGTGCAGAGGAAAATCTATTCATCTATGCTTTTTAAAATGTCTATGATAAACAGAATTAGACATAGAGAATTGCATAATACACATGTCCATATTACCCAGCTTCCACAGTTATCAGCTTCTTTGTAATTGTTTTTCACCCTTATGCCTAGCTGTTCCCACCACCATATTATCTTGAAGCAAATCTCAGATATTATAACATTTTATCTGTTAAGTATTTCAGTAGATATTTTTAAGCAGTCTTGCTTAAAATAAGAATGGTATGTAGGTGTTTAATGTATTCTCTAACTTAATGCATAATTTAAGTACTCACAGTCTCTGTTGAGACTATTTAGATGGACTAAATCCAATCAGAGAGAGAATTTGATGAAGGTAGTGGTCATCTGGAATGGCCCATTGTTCTGTATGGGATAGCAACTGTGTAGGTCCAGTCAAAGAACGACAGCATCAGAGAATTTCTGTCTGGAAGAAAGGAGCCATTGTTAAGATTGATGGGTTTTCTGTGTTCTTTGGTCCCCTCTGATGACAGGATAGTGAAATGAGCCCCACCTCCAAGTACCCACAAACTTTGTAACCATGGATAAAGTCAGCCACTTACTTATCTCTGAAATTAAACTTCCCAATTTTAAAAATGGATGTGATGCTTCCTGCACTTATTCACAGAACTGTGACACACTGTGATTTGGGATGTGAACACACTTTAAAAATAATGGACCGGTTACATAGTCTCCTTTTATTTTTTATTTTATTTTTTTAAATTTCTTTTTTGAAACAGAATTTCAGTCAGTTGCTCAGGCTGAAGTGCAGTGGTGGCTCACTGCAGCCTTGACCTCCTGGGCTCAGGTGGTCCTCCCACCTCAGCCTCACAGGTAGCTGGTATTACAGGCATACGCCACCATGCTGGCTGACTTTTGTATTTTTGTAGGATAAGATTTCACCATATTGCCGAAACTGGCCTCCAACTTGAGAGCTCAAGTGATCCTCCTGCCTCAGCCTCTCAAAGTGTTGGAATTACAGGCGTGAGCCATGGCACCCAGCTACAGATGATCCTTTAACACAGGCTTTTGGTTCTTTGAAATTACCAATGTTCAGGATTCTCAATGGCATCAGAGAATATAAAGATTGAAGAAATAACTATCTAGAATGTTTTTAAGGAATAATTTTCTAATCTAGGTTCTCTGTTTTCTTCTGAGTACATTTTACTTGGGCATTTTACTTTTCTCCAATATAAGGTCCATTTTCACTGAACCATTTACAGTTTATTCTTCTCTCTATTAATAAAACCTTTGGAATGATATCTTGATCAGGCTAACTCCAAATTAAATGTTTCTCTTTGAAAGATTGCCTGGTGATCAGAATTGTTTTTCCTTCTCTTTTCTTCTTTTAGCCTTGCCTCCCCGATTGAAAGAGATGAAAAGCCAGGAGTCGGCTGCAGGGTCCAAACTAGTCCTTCGGTGTGAAACCAGTTCTGAATACTCCTCTCTCAGATTCAAGTGGTTCAAAAATGGTAATGAATTGAATCGAAAAAACAAACCACAAAACATCAAGATACAAAAAAAGCCAGGGTAAGTATAATGCAGAAAATAGTACAGACTGCCCCCAACAATAAGGCAATATATAACATATAAATGTTATTTAGGCCCTAATAAGTGAATTTACTATCAGAAACATGATAGATAATAAGTGAAAAGCTGTTTTATTATATAATGACAAAAAAATGCCATGTCATCACATAGGCAAGAATTCAGAGTTTCTGGTCCTTACAGCTTGTTGATGAAGAAAAGAAAGGATGATGGAGAAAGAACTGTAGGAAGTAAGAAGAGATGGAAGGGGGAAGGAAGGGAGCATTAGTGGCAGATGCTGTCATAGTAATAGATCCTAAAATTCAATTTCTTGGCTGGGTGCAGTGGCTCATGCTTGTCATCCCAGCAGTTTGGGAGGCTGAGGATAGTGGATCACCTGAGGTCAGGAGTTCGAGGCCAGCCCGGACAACATGGTAAAACCTTGTCTCTACTAAAAGCAGCCGGGTGTTTTGGGTGCCTGTAATTACATATACTCGGGAGACTGAGGCAGGAGAATCACTTGAACCCAGGAGGCGTAGGTTGCAGTGAGCCAAGATCATGCCACTGCACTCCAGCCTGGGCAATAGAGTAAGACTCCATCTCAAAAAGAAAAAAAAGTTCTATTTCTTTAAAATAAGACAAATGCATAGAATAATTCAGAGTACCAGTGTCTTATACAGTTAAAATCACAACTTTGCTAAAAAGCTCAGCCCTACTTAGATTTGTGGAAAGAATTGGAGTCAGTTGAGTTCAGACTATTTTTTAACAAGAGGTTAATGATATAATTATATCTAATAAAAATTTTTAACTGACACTGCTGATAAAGCACATTATCACTTTAGCAGATTTTAAAATTAGGTAATTTTAGATAGCAAGAATTTTCAATGTTTCTACCCTCCCTGAGGAGGTCTGTATTTGATAGGGCTTCATGTGATTCCTGTAATATCTTGGTGGATGCATTTTTTATCTACTCTAAAATGATGCTCTGTTACCATCCCTACACTCTTCATTCTTATTTACTTCCTTACTTAAGAATCATTTCTTCTAATATCAAACTACATTTTTAAATTAGAGAAAAGTATGTTGGGTTTCTGCTTCTAGAGAGTCCTTTAATCAATGTGACATGTATAATAGTAGTTCCACACTCAAAGATGACATTTTCTGCACTCCTATCTCAAAGGGTTCCAATGAACCCTCAGGTATGGTAACAGATGCCACAGAACAATCTCCTATACTTTGATTTTATAGGACATTAACCAGAAAGTTGTTACACATTCATGACCAAAGTGATTATAATGAGAATTGAATTTAAGTGTTTATTTGTTCTGATGACTGTAATTAGGGGTGTTTCCTAGTTTCTGTGGTTTTATTAACTACATAATTAACTAATTACATGTTTACTCTATTTATTGATCATGTCAGATAGAGCCTAATTTTTGTATTTTTCATATAGACGTGGTCTTGAACTGCTGACCTCAGGTGATCCATCTGCCTCAGCCTCCCAAAGTGCTGGGATTACGGGCAGGAGCCACCATGCCCAGCCTACTTATCTTTTTACATTATTTCAATATGTAGCAGTTGAACAGCACATGGCAGCTATCTTATTTTGCAGATTAGGAAATTAAGGGTCAGAAAAGTATTCTGCTTTGCCTCAAGTCACATAACTAGGAAGAGACTCAGTGAGAACTGAGTTTATTATTATTACACCCATTAAAAAATGTAATATACTAAGGATGAAAGAGGTGAAGTTTCTTCCTGTAAATTATATTGGTAATAAAGGGTTAAACTTAGATGTGAAATAGGTCTGACTCTAAGTCTCATGTCTTTTCAACAGATACTTGTGATTTTGCTATATAGATTGGCTACAAATCTATTTCTTGAGTTCCTTTCTTTGAAATGGAGAACATTCATGCTTAGTAGTGTGTGCATGAGGGGAGTAGGAAATACAATGAATGAACTGAAAAGATAAGGAGATTCTTATAAAGAAGTCTAACAGGACAAAAAATATTCCTTGATTTTTGGATGGAATTGATTTTTGTGTTTGCTTTTCATCAGACAAGTTAGTAAGAAATGAAGTCATCTGCACATGCAGGGTAATGTCTCATCTATTTCTATGTAGCTGTCAAAGGATACCAGTAATATTTAAGTGCCCATGAAAGGTTTTATGCTAGGAGTGTGGAGACATTTAAGAGGCAGGCATAAGGCGTTATAATCTCTATGCCCAGGGGTAGGGGGGTCATAAGATTGTATAGAGATGATCCAGTTCAGTCTTACATAAAACATAAGAATTCTGGAAATCATGTGTTGAAACACTGTTAGAGCTGGGAAAAGGAAGGAAGGGAGGAGAGGTTCATCTAGAAGAAAGCATCGTCACACTACAAATATTCAGTCTGATGGTACCTGGAGAGAGGCAAATGAAGCTGGGTAGATAAGATAAGAAAATGAATTTTTTTAAAAACTGAACTGACTAGAATGAATAGGCTTTAGAAATGTACATACTTAAAGAGATAATTTGTTACATGACTTCAATGACATATAAAAGTATCATTAGTATTCAGAAAAGCATTTTCATATTGGCTTCATAGGTCCAGACAGCTAAGAGCACTATCTAATATATATTAATAAAATCCCATTATACCAGAAAGGACAATAGTCAGAAATCAGTTCTTTTAAACAATGGTCTGGCTGGAAATAATTAAATGAGGAAAAATGTATTCAAGTAATGCAACTATAAATCAGTCAAAACGGTCAACATATTTGATCTAAAAATAAGACATACTTTGTATAGAGTGGACTGCTATTTGGTAAGTGATCAGCTTATCGGTTTTCAGAATTGGACATTTTGTCATTTCTAAACTTGTGTCTTTTTATAAAAATTTAGCATTGTCAGTTTTTTGTTTTTTGACACAGAGTCTCGCTCTGTCACCCAGGCTGGAGTGCAGTGGTGTGATCTCGGCTCACTGCAACATCTACCTCTCAGGTTCAAGCGATTCTCCTGCCTCAGCCTCCTGAGTAGCTGGGACAACAGGCACGTGCCACCATACCCAGCTAATTTTTTTATTTTTAGTATAGATGGGGTTTCACCATATTGACCAGGCTGGTCTCAAACTCCGGACCTTGTGATCTGCCCACCTCAGCCTCCTAAGGCACTGGGATTACAGGCATGAGCTGCCATGTTCAGCCATTTTTTTTTTTTTTTTTTTAGATTAAAGGATCCAACTGAATCTAAATTTAATTGACATTTGCAAGGTGACCTACTATTTCAATTTATCCTGTAAATATAAGTAGAATAAATATTATTATCGTTATACCCATTTAAAAAAATTATTATCCTGAGAATGAAGGAAGCTAAGTTTCTTCCTGTAGATCATAGTGGTAATGAATGGTTAAACTTAGATTTGAAAGTTTCAAATCTCTAAGTGACTCTAAGTTTCGTGTCTTTTCAACAGATATTTGTGATTTTGCTGCATAAAGTCATAAGTCAGAACATAGGACTCTGGCATGGTTAGGTTTAGGATAATGTCTTTAATTAAAAGATTCTTATTTTTCGGATTCATCTATGTATTACTATTAATGATTTTTAATTACTAAGATATTCAGACTATTAGTGTTTTGCAGTGGTTAGTTGGTTACTTGACTTAAACTTTTTCTTAGGCTATGATCAACCAAGCAGAGGTGAAGTTTAGTTTGAGGTGCAAGATTTTTCTGGGATTCTCTCTTTATTTAAATATAACATTGACTCTTTTTCAATCCTTAGTCTTGGCTGCTTTTTCACATTTTTTATAATCTAGATTATGCATAGCAGCCAAAATATCCTTTTAATTCCTTCGTGTTTACTGGAACAATTTCACAGCAATATGCAATTTTTGTTATTTTGTAAGATCTTACCCTTCTTTTGCCCATGATCCCACTAAAAACTACATTGCTACGTGTTCTTCCTATCATTTCTGAATTCCCATCTAAGCCTTTGTTTTATTTGGCTAACCCATGTGTAGGGCCAATTAAAAGAAATGGAAACTGTCCTCATGTTATATGTCTGCTTATCCCTTTGTTCTTCTTCTCTTTGACTGGTGGCTGATTTTGATCAAGAAAACTGGTTAAAGAGCTTTGAGTGTGACAGATCCTTATGTCAGGACTGTCAGATTGACCTTATTTAAATATCTGTTCTAGCTTAGCTTTACGAAAGTCTGGTTTCCTATTGTTTGTATGTTTCACACGCTTTGAGACACCCTTAGTTTTGCCTCAGCTCTTACATATTTTAATTTTGTTTAAAATTGGTTCTAATTGTGCACATTAGAAAAATATTACAAATTATTTCTCCTATTTATAGTGGCTGCTTTTTTGACTTTATAATGAAAAACATGTATGTATTTTTTTTCTTATATTAGCTGAGCAACTCTGGCAGATCACTTGAACTTGATATATTATGAAATCTCAATGTTCTCAGTAGAAAATGGGAATCCTCAGTGGCATTCCATATGGTTTATGTGAGGCACTTGGTACAGTGACTGGTTCTGTTGCTTAAGAAGCTCCTCTTTCAGCCAAGCACAGTGGTATGCACCTAAAGTCCCAGCTATTGAGGATCTCTTGAGGGCAGGAGTTCAAGACCAGCCTGGGAAACATAACAAGACCCCATCTGCATACTTAAAAAAAAAATCATAATTCCTTTTTCGCTTTTTTGTCCTTTTCATGATGATCAGTTTTACATTATCTGAAGCAGAGTTGGATACACACACACAAGCACTCTCTATGTAATTCCTTAGGGGTCAGGTATAAACTGAGGGGTCCTTCCCTTTATGTGTTTAAGTTGCCTTAGCCTGTATCTATGGTAGAAGAATCAAGCTAAACTAAATAATAGCTAATGGAATCAAATTCACCTTGTAAGTGAGCACTCACTAAAAAACACAGTGTGCTTTCTGATATTAAAAAGAAGGAAAATAATACTCAAAACCTTTTATCTTCAAATTACTTCATATTAATTTATCTTTACATTTTATTGCTTTTTCTTATTCTAAAAGTAATACATGCTTATGAAAATCCAAATATTTCAGGAACATAGACTGTGATTACTATAATAACAGCTAACATTTACTGGAAAGTTACTATATTGCAAACATTATTTTAAACACTTTACATGAATTAACTCATTTAATATTTTTAGAAAATAAAGATCCACTGAAACACCAGCCTTCCTCCAGATACCCAGAAAACTCATCAATTAAATAGCAAAAAATTAAATTTATAGTTATAAGGAAATCCAGTAGTTTTTGCAAGCTAATTTCCTTCTTAGAGACAGTGTTTAGTATCTTACTGAAAAGAGAAAAACAAGACATGTATCCATACTTATCAAAGCCCCAAATCTTTTTGCAATACATAATTTTCAAGGAAGATTTGGCTCATTCTACACTCTTACTACATTCTGTCCCATCTCTAGGACACAAGGCTGGAGGAATCCCATAGTTAACTATATCATTAGAATTCAGAGGAGTCTTTGTGATCCTTGAGGTCAGTGGTTTTCCAATGATGTCACCGTAGAATCCTAAATTTCTATTGAATTGCAAAAAGGATTACCAGTCACTCTGACCTGGAACACTTTCTGTATGATATGATATTTTTGAATGTGAGGTTCTGATTTAAGCTTTCATTTTAAAACAGGATTTTGTTATAAAAAATAGCTGAAACCACTGATCTAATTTAATCTTTCTCTGCATAGAGATATTCTTGTAAGAATGTGCGTAGCAGGTGGCTATCCAGACTTGAATCTTTCCAAAGAGAAATCCTAACTCTTTCACAAGGCACCCTATACATTTTTGAATGCTCAGAAAAGTTCTTCTATGTAATATCATTCAAAACATGTTTCCTTTTTCCTGTAAGACTTAGTTTTCTTGTAAGTCTTAGCAATCCCAAATAATTTCCTTTTCCATATGCATCCAGGAAATATATTTAAATAGTTACCCATATTTAATTCATAGTTGTCTGCCAGTGGGTCCTCTGTTTCTTTAACACAAACCTCTCTAGTGTTAAGATTTCTAGGCCCTATTCAATTCTGATTACCCTCTTCTAAAGTCCTTTAAGTAGTGGTTTTTTTCTCATCTAATGTCATTCCAAAGTATAATTCAGCATTCTAGATGTGATCCAGCCTTTTATTCAATTTTATTTATACTCTGCTTTAATATTAATTCGGCTAAATAGTACATAAGATTCTTTTGTTCTTTCTTTTTTAAAAATAGTTTTTAAAATGGGTTAATGATAAGCATGCGGCTAATCGAAATTCTTTCTGCATATATTGAGTTGAGGCATATCTCTTTCCTCTTGTATTTATGCCACTGATTTTCGAACGTGAATGTACTTGTTATGCTCATCTTGATCAAATTGAACCTTAGTCTTGGCCCATTGATGTTCTGTCTTAGAATTCCCAGTGTGTCCTCCACAGAAAAGATTCCATGGCCACATGTCATGCCTGCCTTAGAAATTCACAGTACAGATTTGCAAAAAACCAGGGAGATGCATTGTTGTAAAGATACCTATTTAACTTTTTTAAATGCAACATTAATTTTAGCATAGAACCAACTCTTTCTTTAAAGCCTAATATTTGATTACTCTAGGAATAGTATTCCAGGAAACAATGCCCAGGCCTATTAGGAGATGCTTGATTTTAAGGCTTATCCCTTTAAGATTATGTTAACTGTAAATATGATTACTATGTTTCTTATAGTTCCGTCGAGATCAGTAGTTAAAATGTTAATTGCTTTGGGTCAAGAAAGAGGTTTTTAGATACAAACAGGATTGTTCCTAGATTTGTATAAATAGGAAAGAAGGGCTGTTCTTGAGGGTGTTGTAATAATCTTGGAGTTGTACATTCTTGGGCTATTGTAATCTTATCTCAGAATTCTGAGGCTTAAGAAAAGTTACTGTTTTCTTATTTCAGAAATTTACTCTTGTCTGTGGCATTGAAAATCAAGATATCATGCCCCACCCTGATATTGTTCATAATTTATCTATTATTGCTGGTGGTTTCATGGTTATACATGAAAATTCTTCTGGCAAACTCTGCAAAATGTTGGGCTGGAAAATATTACAATATCCAATTTTTTCTCACTATCCTTCAAAGGTACCCATCATGAAGGAAACTTGTCATATATGGACAAAGTAGATAAATAGCTAATAATCCATTTAAAAAATAATATGGTATTTCAATACTCCAAAATTCAGCCTGAAAGTTAATACAATCTGACCTTGGATGATATTCTAATATTGTTTTATTTTGAAAATTTTAAAAGTTGTTATATTTTATTATTAAGACATATTATCTATTTGCACAGATACTTGTCATCAAAATGACCCATTTTGGCTTACAGGGCTATACTTCAGGAAGCTTTCCTATGAATAACCTCTCTGATTAATGTGTGAATATCCTGAAATGGCCCTTGGTGGTCTCCCCATTCCATAGTTAGATAAAGCTGTTAAATTTTATCCACTCTTGTGAACTTTGTTCCATAGACCATTATTTTCAAAAAATATTAACTGATATGCCTCTTGAATGAAAAGGACTCCATGATCAAATAAGTTTGAGAGAGAATAAATAATATATCCCCTTTCTGAGAAGTCAGAGTACATAAGCATATTCAAGACCCTGAGAAATTCTATGAGATTAAAGATAATGAAAAATCTGTCTTTATTTCACCTAATATTTCCAAATTTATTTGAATGTAGAACACATTGCTTTGATTTTTATCTCAGGTTTAGCTGTTGACATTATTGAGTCATGACTACCCAAGTTAATTTTACAACCCATTTGTTCGTTTGACCATCACTGCCCTTGGTCTGGACCACCTCTGATGATTTGTACCCTCTCATCATGGCATTTTCCTTGCTTCAAACCAGCATTAGGAATATTAAGTTCTGCTGAGTACTTAAGTAAACATCCAAATACTTTCTTCATTCATTCACAAATTTATCCGATAATGTCTGAAGACAAAGCACAGCCTGATGTATGCTCGTTGAGACTAGTAAGAAGTTGACATTATGGCTCCACTCTCCAAAGTATATCTCCTAGGTCGAGAGATGAGACATACTGAAAGAATGTTCATAAAAAGGGGATCATGGAAGAGGTGCTCAGGACTGTCAGAATTTAGACATGTGAGAAAGCAGCTCCAGCTACGTGATTAGGAAAGAATGGATGAAGCAATTGGCATCTGACATGGCTTTGGAAGGTCAACTGAGTTTTTTTATGTGTGTGAGTGAAGACCTCCCATTGTAGGAAGAAGAAATGAAACAGACAAAAGCACAGAGGTAGAAGATCAGGAGGCTTACATGCAGAACTTTGGGTGGTTCAGTCAGATAGGCTGGAGGAGACTAGTAGGAATTAAATTTGGAACAATTGATTTTACTCTATTAACATTATTGTGTGACAAGAAGTCAGAAAATTCACTAGAAAACTAGCAAAGTATAACGTGGGAGATTTGCAACCAGAAGGATTGCTGTCTTTTCTTCCTCCCTTGTTGTTATCCCCTTGAGAGCCCAGGAAGTGAATTTACCAAGCTACAGCATAGAAGGATTATTATTATTTTTTTGGAGATAGGGGTCTCGTCATGTTGCCCCGACTGGAGTGCAGTGACTATTCACTGGCACCATCATGGCATATTACAGCCTCGAATTCCTGGGCTCAAGTGATTCTGTCACCACAGCCTCCCAAGTAGCTGGGATTCCAGGGGCATGCCAGCACACCAGGCTTTAGAAGAATTCTTTAGAAAGACTTCAGTAAACTGAGCCAATCCCAGCTGTCCTGAGTTCTTACATCCTGGAGATTGCTTAAATTACAGGCTACGTACAACAGTAGAACACAGACACACAGACACAGCAAATCACAGTGCTGCTCATGTTCCAACAAAAAGGTGAATATTCATGTAACATTCATAGTTTTATAAATCTGTGTGATAATGTAGCCCAAATATGTATTCCAGTATTAGGAACCTTTCATGTTCTATGCTCCCAACAATGAGAATTTTAAGGAAAGAAAAATTCCTTTCCTTTTGAAATTGATAAATCCTCTTCATTCAAAATTAACATTATTCTTGATGTTACTCTACTGAGAAGAAGAGTGCACCGTATTTTTTATCTATTCTAGTCAGTGTTAAGTGTCCTTAACAGACTTGTAGGAAATGATTTTTATACATTTTTCTCTTCCTAAACCCTAGTGGCTGATACATCTACTTTTACTCTAGGTAGTTACTCATGCAGTCAGATCATTGTAATAGAAATTGTATTTTGACATATGCATAAGGTGGAAAGAGGCAGTTTGAGAACTCTGAAAGCATAGAAAAGTATATATTTATATTTATATTTACTGGATTTCTGTAATATATACTGACACCACTTTGGTTCTGATTTTATAGGAAGTCAGAACTCCGCATCAACAAAGCGTCACTGGCTGATTCTGGAGAGTATATGTGCAAAGTGATCAGCAAATTAGGAAATGACAGTGCCTCTGCCAATATCACCATCGTGGATTCAAATGGTAAGACATACCTACTGTATTCTGTTCCTCAGTCTGTAAGAAGACAAGACGTGGTAAGACTCATAATAGATTAACGTGTTAAATCTCATCGTAAATGAATTAAAAACAAAGAAAACCAGATGTTCCAAGGATCTTGTATGTCTTTCATAAATTTCTGCACTCCATGAGATTATATAGACCTGAAATATACATAGATTATTTACAAAAGGATTTGAATAAGGCCATGAACAGCAGAGATAGGTTGGGTTGCTAAAAGATAGAGGTTATACCATTTTCTTTAAGTTGGTTGGGGAGGGCAGTAAAGTCTTTGGCTCTCTGAACAAAAGAATACAGTCATATATATATATCTCTCTCATATATATATATGTGTGTGTGTATATATATATACACACATATATATATGAGATATATATATACAATAGCTATATGTAACACACAGAATATATGCATATTATATATGTGTGTGTGTGTGTATATATATATATATGTGTATATATATGTGTGTATATTATGTTTGTGTGCAGAATACAGTCCTTAACTCAATCCTGGCAATTTTATTTCCATTACATATGGCTCTATGTAGTAGAAAGTTAGACCATTAATTCTTTTTAGGCCTATTAATTTTGAAATTTGAAGGGTCTTAGAGGCAATGAATTTCCTACTATGAAGAGGCTTCAGTTTCACTTCCTTCAGAATAGCACCAGGCAATATTAAACAAATGAATGACTTAGAGGTAGGAAGTACAATCTACCTCTGACAGCTTCTCTGAGTTATTCCAGGAAAGTAAAAGAATCACAGCTAATGACTTTCTGTTTTCTAATAGCCTAATACTCCATGATTTGATGGGATCATCTATAGGAGCTAATGGTGACCTAGCAATGCTTCTTTAGATCTCTTAGAATAATCAAATGCTATTTTAAAACCTTTGGTATTTCTTTTTTTTTAATTATGACACTTAACTATTACCTTTAGAAATTTGTCATCTGTTATAAAAGTAAGCCTAATTGCATTGCTTCTTGGTAGGAGATGAGAAAGATTCTGCATTTCAAGAGCAAGTGCTCTTAAAGTGATAAGGTAATACCATCTCAGCACAAGTAGAGTAAAGGTAACTTTAAGCGTTAATTCTATGGGAGCCTGATGTAGTTTTTGTCAGTTGATTCACCTGTAACATACTAAGAAAGTGAGAAGGGAGTAAGATAAAAATAAGAAACATGGCTGGGAAAATTCAGGTTAGTGCCTCATCCTCTCTGGACTTCTCATGGATCTGCTTCATCACAATGTAATCAAAGTTGATCACTTTCATTTTAAATATCTCCCTCCACAGAGAGTAAAAGAGAGCAAGGAAAAGGAGTTTCCATTAGGAGTCCTGTTTATTACAGTTTGAAATGTAAAAACTATTTAAAATTTATATGAGTAAATATATCATCACTTTATTTTTTAACCAGGACAGTTTAAGCAATAGTATTTTGCTAGTATTAATTTACCCCACATGGAATTCTATAGGATGCTACCTGAAACACACCTTAAAAAATTAATTTTAATGGGCCATTCTTTACTTTCTACTGTAACCATTGTTTGAAGCTAATTCTCCTCAGTTTTTCACTGGCTTGGTTTGGTGTGTCTCCTCATGGTTAATGCTACTGAACTGTGATTTTTGACACTTGGATTTGATTCCTGTAGCTATACCACGATGTCCCAGGGAAATAAAATTAGAGCTGGTGTCATGGTCTTACTGAGTGTCTGCAGAGGTATTGTTTTGATTATTCCATGGTTTCTGATTCACAGGATTAAGCAATGAATTATTTACCACTATATTATTCCTGGCAAAAACCCATAGAATTCATTTTTTATTAATTTGGGGGTACTGAAAATTTGATAATATGCCTTTTTGCATTTCTTACATAGAAAAGACAGCTAATTCATTTTCTCCACATTAATTCACTCAAGTCTTGGTCTAGTGATCAAATATGAATATGTGGTATTGACCATTATAGGGTAGAGAGATGAAACTCAAGGTGTTTTTGATAATGAGTCTTTTGTACCTGGCAAGAATAAAGAGAAGTTCATGGAATATTTTAAGTAAATCATTCTTAAACAACCAACAAAAATTCTTTCAGAAATGGGTTCTTATGAACTTATTTAATTAAAGCTTCTGAAGAAAGAGAATGAAGAATCTCAATTGCAATGCAAGTTGGTCTTGCTTTTATTCTCTTCTTGAAATGTTAGGAATAGATCCTCTTTAACCCCTTCATTGTATTAAAAAAGAAATAAAAGAGTTAGCATAGAAAAAAGACTTATTCAGGAGATATTTGGCAGCAAAAGGAGATAAGAACACAGGTTTTTGTTTTGTTTTGTTTTTAAATTCCTACAACAGTGCAGTTCACTCTGTATCTGAGAATTTTTTGTGTGCATTTTGTTTTTTGGTTTTTGAGACAGGGTTTCACTCTGTCACCCAGGCTGGGGTGCAGTGGTGCGATCTTGACTCACCGAAACCTCTGCCTCCTGGGCTCAAGGGATCCTCTTACCTCAGCCCCCTGAGTAGCCAGGACTACAGGTGCATGCCATCACACCCCCCTAATTAGAAAACAATAATTTCTTTTTTGAGATGGAGTGTTGCTATGTTGTCCACTCTGGAACTCCTGGGTTCAACTATGTTGCCCACTCTGGCACTCTTGATTCAACAAGTCCACCCACCTCAGACTCCCAAAGTGCTGGGATTATAGGCGTGAGCCACTGCGCCCAGCTTTACTCTGTATCTATGTGTTGGCAGATGTTTAAGTTAGATTATTTTGCTTATAAAGAACAGAAGTTGAAGAAATGGTGTGAGGCCTAAGGAGTGAGGGATTCTATGGTGAAGAACTGGAACTTAATTATAACTTGGCCTCCAGGAGATGGAATTGTCTGCTGGGCATCTCTGACAATTTAAACAATGCGAGTTTGTGGCTCTTCTCTCTGGTGTTCCTACCTTTAACATGCTTTGACACTTTTTTATACTCTTTCCTCCATCTTCTTACCTCTCCTATTTTCAAACTACACTTCTTTATGATTCCAAACTTTGACCTGTTTCTTGCCCTCACTTGGCTATATTCTTCATGGCATTTTCAGGCATTCTTTCAGCTTTAACTCCTGTATGATTGTTTCCTTGGTTCCCCAGTGAAATTCCCTAGACCAAGAATCCTATTAGCAGAGTTCATTGTTCCATATCCATTAAAAGACCTAGAGAATTTACAAATCATGTGGTGTCTGGTCATATGTCCACTGCTGCCTCAACTAGGGAGGGTGAAACTGGAAACATAGCTACCCGGAAGCTCCTTTCTTCAAAGGCTGGGGGTGGAGCATGAAGCCCACCTGGGCCTGTGGCTTGGCAGGTACAATGATTGACAAAGCAATATCCTTTTTAGAGGGGATACCCTTTTTGCTCTGCACTGCAGGGGGCTAGTTATAGTGCATCTGAAAGGAAACTATGTAATCATTTTGATCCCTTATCCTCTTCCACTGCTATCTATGAATTTCCTGTATTCGGTTCAATGCTTGGTTATCAAAGAAATCTCAGTTGGATTCTGAGCTCTCCCGGGCTTAGATGCACTACCTTTGTGTTGTCTCATTCTTGTCTCCCTAGGAATCAGGGCAGCAGTTGAAACACTTTTACAGAGAGAAAAAGGGCACTCTCTACTGTGGTTATAAATTGCCACACCACTAGACCATGTCCTCCTAAATAGGTATTTACCATTGACTTGGGCTGATAGAATTCTCAAGAATTTCTTCCCTCCCTCCCTCCCTTCCTTCCTTCTTCCTCTCTTTCTTTTCTTTTCCTTTCCCTTCCTTTCCTTTTCTTTTCTTTTCCTCTCTCTCTCTCTTTTTTTTTCCCGACTTTCACTCTGTCACCCAGGCGGGAGTGCAATGGCAGGATCTCAGCTCACTGAAACCTCCACCTCCTGGGTTCCGATTCAGTTCTCCTACCTCAGCCTCTTGAGTAGCTGAGATTATAGATGCCCACCACCACACCCCAGATAATTTTTGTATTTTTTGTAGAGACAAAGTTTCACCATGTTGACCACACTGGTCTCTAACTCCTGACCCTAAATGATCTGCCCACTTTGGCCTCCCAAAGTCCTGGGATTGAGGCATGAAGCAAGGCACCTGGCCAAGAATTTCTTGTTTCATTGGGGATTCTAGGAAAAAAAGAGTTCTTAAAATAAGAATATGCTGTCAAACTATTATATTACATGGAACTCCCCTTGAGATTTTAATTTATAGTTTCTATGAAATATCACCTTATTAATTTCATTTTTTCACCTTTTCTATAAATCTCCAAGAAGTACATGGCTATAGTTTGAGAACTTTTATACAGGTCTCCTTGATGAATGATCCTTGTATGTTGCTGCAATCTGATTATCCTCATTCTTTCCTATGCAAAGGATTCCTTGTGATTTACTTAAATTCTCACACAGTTACTTTTTTGTTGTTGCTCTAAGATGTTTAGAATATATTTTGATGCAAGATTCTAAGAGAGATGGGGAGATTGGGGGAGACATTTGTAGGAGGCTGTTTTCCTTCTCCCCACATGACCTTGCTGTTTGGTTCAATGTTTAATCCCATTAAGACAGCTATAATAATTATCGAAATAAAATTACCTTAGATCATAAGCCTTCTGCAATGAAACTCATTGTTTAGATCTGCCTGGATTAGTGACTAAATATAAATAAAATGATGAAAAAATTAAGAAATTCCCCTTGAAACAGTATATCCTGGAGTATAAGAATGGCCGTACTTGTACTATTTTCAAGCCCTTAGAAAATAATATATACACTCAACCATTTTGCCAACCCACATTTTAGAATTTTGTTTTCTGTCTTTTCCAGTGCCTTTCAACTTCTACTTTATTCAGAATTAGAGAAAGTAATTTATCATATAGTAGACATATATCAACGTATGCAATCTGCTAATTACTTCTGGGACAATGTAAAGCTAACAAAGTCCAGTTGGGTTTTCATATAACAAAGGATCTCATAGGCAGTAATTATGTGATGAATTATGAGTGAATTCCTTTCATGAATTCATATATGACAGTGGAAAAGGCCACATACACTATGTTTACGCACCCCACACACTATATGTTCATTTGTATTTGTGGTTTATTTGGCTCAGTCTTTATATAGGAAACCTTGACTTAGCAATTAATTCTTAGCTAACAAGCCTTGTGAAAGCTCCTGGGCTTTAGAGTAGGGAAGAGAATAATAGACTTTACTGGTTTCCAAATTAAGTAAGTAATGCTTTCTTTTAAAAGATTAATATAAGAGAATATACAACTAATCAATCATATCTTCTAAGTTTTCTTTTTTAATCAGAAGAAAAATTATTTGAGTGAGATTCAAGTTCCCATAGGAGCAATTGGGCTTGTAGCAATAAAATAGCTGTTTCATTTGAGATGAGCAGAAAAATATTATTTTTATAAAATTTGGTTAGATGATCCATTGCTGCTTTTCAAAATGGACTTATACTGGTGATAGGCTTAGCCTCACCCCCTCTCCCAAGTTGACAGTGATGTTGGAAATGCCGCGATATTAGTAGGCAACCGTAGAAAACATGTAAAATGTGTTTTTTAACTTGTATAACAGTCTACATATACATTGTATTATGTAGAATGCCCAGGAAGGTAAATAAGTGAGGACAATATGAAAGCAATAGGTTAGACTTGTCTTTTCAATGTATGGTATCCATCCTGTCTCTACACCATTTATTAATTTCAGAATTTCTCAGTTGCCTTAGAGTAAGCATTCATTATGAACAGGAAGAATTCAGGTACTCAAGGCATCTTCATGACTGCCAATAAATAAAGTGTGTCCACTTTTAAATCTTTTAAGGAAATCACTTGATTAAAATTTTTGTATGTACAGTGGTGACCTATACATTGAGAAAAAAGAAGTCACATAAATGAATGTTGAAATACACACAGACACATTTTATATATGTATACAGTGTAAACATGTGTATTCTGCTACATAATTATATTTAGTATATTATGATCACGGTGAAATTGCAAACATCATGCATTCATAATAATTAGAAAAATTTCCTTCTAGAAGGTATCTTTCATGCCATGTAACTTTTTCCTGAGACCAGATCCAGTTTTCCTGAGACCAGAATTAAGAAAGAATTCGAACATTACAAATATGCTAATGTTCCTTATGTTTACTTGCCTGCTCAGCATAAATTGCTCTGCTGTGTTCAGTTTCTGATAATTCTAAAACTCATTGATTTGCACTAATGAGGGCAATGTCCTTTATGAATTAACACATTTGATATACCAAATTACTATGGGAAAATATGTTGCTTAAACATCAAGAAGATTGTAGGATTTAATGCTTTTTAAAAAGTCTGTAAGTGTAATATAAAATTACTTTCAATTTACTTTTAACAAAAAGTTGTTTTCCAAATCTGTAAATTCTAACCATAGCATACGTAAAAATGCTTGCTGAGTGATTTTAATTAAAAAGATTAACTTTCTTACTAGCAAGATTCTTTTTAAAATGAGGACTCCTTTGGTGTAGAAATGTATGTTAACTTCTGAGCTTGTATTTCCTCTAAGATTAATTCAGAAAGTTTGTATTTGAAACCACAATCATTAAAGATATTTTAAGGTCTCCAAGATAAATACCTAATTTTAGGAAGGGGGTTATTTTAAGTTGTCTCCGTGTAGATGCATCTTTGTAGTAACCTCCTGTTCTGGTATTTTTATATAACATTCAATTAAAAAAGGAAATGTTATGGTTAACCTTTCCTCTAATCTGAGGTCTTTTCTGCCGGAGATAGAAAAGCTCTGATTTTTTTTTTCTTGGAAGGTCACAGTGGACAGCTACTTAGTTTGTCAAAAATAAATTTGAAAAGAGTCTTGAGATCTGAGTTGGGGCTGGGACTTTTGCCCAGCTCTAGTTGAGTTTACAACTTTATCTGGTTGTAATGTCATTGATGAATCTTGAAGGACAAGAGAAGGAAGCATGCATCTCTCTTAAGTGTGGATCCTTTCTTTGGAAACATGGCCCTTCTAAATATTCCTAGAGAAGGACACACACTTTGAATCTCTAATATAGTTTCTCTCAGATTACATTTTCTTAAACAAGAACAATTTCATTTTCTACAGCCCAAATCAAAGAAAGCTTGTTGCAGCTGCTTCAGAAACAGGTATCTTCATATAACCAATTCACAATATCCTTTCTTGCCTGATGCTTGAAAAAACCCTGAGAAAATGATGTACCTTCACATAGTAATTCCTTTCACTTAGTTCCATTTTTAATGGATATAAGAGGCAATGTAGGCAACTTTGGTTTGAAACCAATCTTACTCCTTGAATAGTTTGCCCTCTTAATCCTGATTAGAGAGGATCATCCACACTTAATTTGCACTAGAAAGACACACTTGGTCTTACTAAAGGCATATTGCTAATCTTTATATATTAATACCGAACCTGGTACTTATTCTTAAACATCGCTGCTGAGTCTCACTTGACTTTGTTTCCCTTTCAATTCCACGAAATCTTTCATCCCTAGATAAGCCTCACAGGTTAAAGAAATAATTGCCACTTAAATCTACTTACCTACTAGACTAGTCCAATCTTGAAAACACTAAATTCTCATATCTGTATTTAAACATGATTATGTTTGTAATAAACATTGCTACTCCATGATTAACAGAATATTAATATAAATATACAATTATATATAACCTGCTTAGAATTCTCAGTTAGATCTTCTAATTGTGTATAGTAGATAGTATCACGGCAGATTCAACTTATCTTTTGTCCTGGGTAGGAAATATGAACAACCATTAAGTTGTTTGGCAAGACTATGCCACAGTGAAACTTCAGTGATCTACATCATCGTATAGCTGCTTCTTTCCAAATTTCATAAAACCGTACCTTGCTAAAAGTGTTAGATTCTGACCGACTGAAGTCCTTTTCAGAAGAACAGAATATGGAATTAGACAAGGTAACTACTCTGTATTCCACCATAAAGAAGTAAGAATGTCAGTTCAAAGTTTGAATAAGACAATCACAATCCTCATGATAATGATGTATCCAGAAGTGTACAGGTTGGGTTCATCCTTCATTTATTTGGGGTGGGAGCTGCATGCTTACTTCCTGGGTAGCTGATGGCTATCGTATGATAAGGCACCTGTCTTCATTCTCACTGGCAATTGCAAATGGAGTTCCATGCCAGAACTTGATGCGTTTCACCAATCCTAATTAGAAACATGGCTTACTTTTATTTTTTAACGAAAACGTACTTGTTCAAAGATCTGTAACTTAAAAATTCTTGCTACAGCTTGGTGATCCGATAGCTTTCACTTTCTTAGTTCCCCTATTTTGACTTTTCTTTCTGAGAAGCCTACTGCCTCTTCGACATTAATTCTTCCTCACTGACCCAAGCGGGGGCAGTGAATGCTTCCTAATTTTCTAGCGCAGCTGATTTCATGCTCTTTGTGTAAGAAAGGAGAACAATCAATTTGGACGGTCTCTTTGCATTTCTTACTCTCTGTATGGTTGAAGCCTGGACTTTCCTCACTCCCTTGCAATATTTCCTTCCTTTACACTTACTTTTAGATCAAAGGCAGCCTGTGGTACCTTTTCAGAAGCCCTGGCCTCCTGCTTATATATCATAATGTCCTATCACCTTTTTTTTTCAGAGATCATCACTGGCATGCCAGCCTCAACTGAAGAAGCATATGTGTCTTCAGGTAAGGAAAATAAGCCTGGCAAGTTTTACTAACCAGAATGACAAACTGCTGGCTGCTCCTTCTACTAATCAGAACCCCTTCTGCCTCCAAACCTCATCTGCTCTTGTTTTCTGCTTCAGTATTTTTCTCAACCTTGTTCTGCCTTTTTTGGATTTTACTTAAGGGAGGATGGGTCTTGCTGTGTCTTCAAACTTAGGCCTGAGAAACACACGAGTGAAAGAAATCTACATCTAGATGCAACTTAATGATATTAAGCAAGTAAAGGAGATATCTGAATTACGAGCTCAGTGTTTTATATCTTTCTAGGTGCTTCTGTTAGCTGCCTTCTACCCTTTCACCCCTCAGAGTGTATTCATAGATAATTTATCAGCATCTAATCTGTGACCTTGGGTTTCTAATGATCAGTTGTGGATTGCTAAACTTAACAACAACAGCAAGAAAAGACTTACAGCCTGACATTTAAAAATGCCATTGTCTTTTGCTTTTGTGTTTTCTCTGTTGCCTGTAATATTTGCTGATAGTACGTATAGTCTGGGCAGATATTGGCAACTTAGAACCCAGCTCTAGCAGTGCACATATAACCATAATTCATTGATTTCACCACAAGCTATGAATTTAATCCTCTATGGATTTCATTTTTTAAACTTCTTTGTAATTCTATAATTAATAGAACCTTAGAACATTTAAAATTAATCTTTATTTGGAAGAAAATTTTTGAAGACCCCAGATTGGAAATTCATCTCAGAGATTAATGATAACTTGGTTTTGCTACTGCTTTTTCTTTGACAAAAATTCTTAAGTCTCCTTTGATAATCACAATATACTTGTGAAACAAGACATCATTTTTCCTCATTTTACAGATGAGAAAACTGAAGCATTAGAAATGTTAAGTCATATTTTTCAGGAAGTAGAAGAGAAGGTACTTCAAGTTCAGTATTCTTTTTACTACTCCACATTTAATATTTTGGCTTCATTGAGTTTTTCATTATGGCTAATACCTTGTTGAAACTGTAGGATGACCTATAATCAACATGTCTTTTTCCATCTTACCTCCATTGGTTTCCTCTTCCCTTCAAAGCCATTGTTTAAAACCATAAAAGCTAAACATCTCTGTATCCTAGACTACTTTAGCTATATTTAGGGCATATTCATGTGTCATTACTAAGATTTAGTGTATATGTGTTATGGAATGGGATGATCCTGGAATCTAAGAGGTGGTTACTCTTCTGAGAGAAGGAAGGAAGGAAGTGAAAAAGAGGGAAAGAGAGAGAAAAAAAGAAAAAAATCAAATATTCTGAATGTCTTCACCTTTCATTAACACATTTCTGTAATATAGAGACTTCATTATCTGACTCCAGTAAATGCCACAGGGGTAAAAATAAAAAGCTTTTACATTTATATGGAACTTTTCTTGGGGATATAGATTGACTGTAACTATTATTTCTTAATTTGGTGACTTGAATCTTGATAACTTTCTGGCTGTTGACTTTCAATCCTTCTTTGATACTAAGACTTCTTTATTTCTTACTAACGAAACCCCATCTGTCTCATACTTTTTTCTGCATGAGTCAAATTTTTCATTCTGTCTGTACTTAACTGGTTTTTCTTCTTTTATCTTTGCTACCTAAGAAAATCTTGCTGCTAGATGTCCCCAACTATTGTATGATTTATTTAATTAGCATGGTTTGTTTGATCCTAATGTAATTACTCTATTGCTCTAGTAGACCCTGCATGGACTTTTCAGCACTTCTTGGTCAGGATGTTTATGCAGATCCAAGTTGCCTGGAAATACTCTCACTCTTGTTTATTTATTTACTTATATGGCATGCATGAAAGTTGGCTTTCACTCTCTTGGAATCCGGGGGCTGTTCTCTTTGGTTTCATGTTTTCTAAAAATCAAGACCACACCTAAAAGAAGAAATTTTCTGTCTCACCTGTAGTGTGGATCTCATTAGAGTAGTCTCTCTTGGAAGTTCAGATAATGCTTGATGAGTGGAATATTCTTATAGATGGATTGACTCCATTTTCATCCCTTTTAAAAGTCTTTGGGTCTAGACTATGGAAATATTCCTTTGTGGTCTTTGAGTATTGCATATATCTTCTGACTTATAAATGCTTCAGCTTCTCTGTTTCACTGTGTTCTAGTACTCTTTTAGTAGGTGATACCCAAGGCTGGCAAATTTCTAATAGTCCAAGAAGCATGACTCAATAAAACCTCATTCCACTTTTATGTTTTATAGAGTCTCCCATTAGAATATCAGTATCGACAGAAGGAACAAATACTTCTTCATGTAAGTATACTTAAATATTCTGTTCACTGGTTTTTAACCCATGACACTATCTGCTTTGGAAGATCATGTTCACGTCTATCCTCTGCCCCTGTTAAGGGTCAGCATATTGAGTTTGGCAACAGGATAGTATTTGCTGTTCGGAGTAGAAATGGCCTCCAATATGCTTAAGGACAACTAGACGTCCTGTCCCCCCAGTTTTGTAAGAATATTGAGATATACCACATATGTATTCATTTTAGGATAATCTGGTGACTTTGAATATTGAAAAATAATTGCACAAGTTCTGAGGCCTAATTCCTGGCAAGCAATAGAGCACATTGTGTATCTTTTCAGCTTGTCTGGATGCCTTCAGCAACTGAGGCATGATACCCAGCTGTTTGGATCCTGTGTTCCAAAACTCCTTCGTTCTCATATAAAGTCAGCCGTGATGGAGTAAGAAAACTATATATAGATGCCCTTAATTCAAATTTGATAGCAAGTAACTAATTATGAAAATGTTTGAAAGCAAGTCCCTAGGCAAGATCTCAGATTAGTTTTCATCTGTTTAATGTGAAATGGGCTTTGTGCTTTGGATTTCTATAACTGTTAGATTGATTGGGGTTTTGTGCTGTCGGGGGAACTTAAGATATTAGCGAGGACTAGTATGAAGAGTTTCTGATATTTATAAATTGAGAATATCATTGTGTTAAATTTTGGTACTCAACAGGGAGTTTATCAAATCTTGAAAATTAGACTTATAACTACAGTCTTTCTCTTCCTTATTTTAGCTCCTTATTTAAAGCATTTCTCAGTTTGATAAGCTCTTCAATAAATAGATGTTCCTAGTGATTCTATTTCAATCTGGAGAGTGTGCTGAATAAATGATTTCCTTTTGCTATCAGCAGGGTAGGAAAACTCTAGAAAAGAAAAGTCTGTCCTTTTGGCAATTTAAGTTGTTTTGTCAATCTGTTTAAATAAATCCTTTTTGATGTTGCAGCCTTTCCCTCCAGGTTGGTGGTACTAGAACTGTAACTATATGATATAAAAATATATTTTATTGGCTGGGCGTAGTGGTTCACGCCTATAATCCCAGCACTTTGGGAAGCCAAGGTGGGTGGATCACAAGGTCAGGAGTTCGAGACCAGACCGGCCAACATGGTGAAACCCCATCTCTACTAAAAATACAAAAATTAGCGAGGCATGGTGGCATGCATCTGTAGTCCCAGATACTCAGGAGACTGAGGCAGGAGAATTGTTTGAACCCAGGAGGCAGAGGTTGCAGTGAGCCAAGATTATGCCACTGCATGCCAGCCTGGGCGACAGAGTGAGTGTCCATGTCAAAAAAAAAAATCTTTTACTGTGCAAAGTATGGTGTTTTGGCTATATTTTAACTACATAAAGCATCATTCAACTGGATTGATGGCAATGGCGTAGTGAGATCAAGTGGGAAATGAAATGCTAGAAAGGGCTAAATGAGTTTCCTGCATGTTCCAAGGGCTCTTATCATATCCTCCAAAATGATCATTTCTACTAGGTATTTGTGCTATTTGTTTTTAAATCCTACCTATAAAAATATTAGTATAATTATATGGTTTTATATAGCTAGCACCAAGGAATCATAGTGAGCTGCTTCTTTGTTTGTTTGTTTATTCTACAGAAGCAAATATTAGGTTTTTCTTTTTTGGTGTTTTGTCTGGAAATAGTTTTTCTCCTGTGTGATTCATTGAATAAAGTTATTGAAAAGCTTGTAATTGGAACCCTTCATGCTATCATCAATGGGGCCATAGATACTGTCTTTAAGCATATCTGAACAGTTTGGGAATGGAAACGAAATACTTCTTTTGGTTTTCCAGAGCTTTGGAGAACTGAAATGAATCTCAGTTTACATTTCTATCATTGTATTACCACCGAGAGAGGAATAACTATGAAATCTGATTGGTCTCTAACTCTCAGCAGAATTCGTTTTTGATATTTGGTAATGGTTTAAAATTGAAAAAGGAAGCTTTGTGTACCATGATATATAAAATGTGCTGTTTTCATACGTCAGTCAACCTACCTCATGGGAGGTTCTTAGGTTCTCAGTAAATATGGTTGAATTGATTCATGAATACTTTTTTTTTTTTTGGTGGAACTTAATTTTATTAGGAGAATGTAAACAATTAATATAATAAACTAGTTACATGATATATGAGAAGGTGCTACATAATCCAAGAATGACAATCAGTAGAGAAAGGGAAGGGATAAGGGGAGTTGAGACTTGTGATTTTTAATCGCTTGATCAAGGTAAGTCTCGTTAAATTGTTGATATTTGAGCAAAAAGTGAAAAGAAGTGAAGAGTTAGCTTTGTAAACATCTAGGGAAACTGGCTGGGCATGGTGGCTCGTGCCTGTAATTCCAGCATTTTGGAAGGCCAAGGCAGGAAGATTGCTTGAGCCCAAGAGTTTGAGGCCAGTGTGGGCAATACTAGTAAGACTTTGGCTCTACAGAAAATTTAAAAATTAGCTGGACATGGTGGCATGCACCTGTAGTCCCACCTGCGTGGGAGGCTGAGATGGGAGGATCACTTGAGCTCAGGAAGTTGAAGCTACTTGAGCTTAGGAAGTTGAAGCTGTGATTGAGCCATTGCACGCCAGCCTGGGTGACGGAGTAAGATTCTGTTTCAAGAAAAAGAAAGAAACAAAGAAACTTCTGGGAAAACTGTATTTAGGCAGAGAACAGCCTGTGCAAAGGCCTTAGGCAAGAACATGGCTCACGTGCCTTGTAGGGGAACCATAAGGAGTCCTGTGGGGTTGGAGTAGAAGGAACAAAAGGCTGAATTATAGGAGATAAGGGCCACAAACCCTGGGGCCAGAGCATGTAGTGCCTTGTAGGTCATTGTCAGGACATTGGTATTTAATAGAATTGCTCTGGCTCCTGGATGAAGGATGACTCACGGGGAGCAAGGGTAGAATCCAGGATGCCAGTTAGGTGGCTTTTGCTGAGAGTATGTTGGCCTGGCCTAGGCTGGTAGCAGTAGAGGTGGCAAAAAATAGTCAGTAATAGTTTGAAAGTATAGACAGCAAGATTCCCTAACCAATTGGATATGAGGTGTTAGAGAAAGAGAAAAGCCATGGGTGAAACCAAGGCTGCTTTTGTTTTATTTTTTTAATTTTTGGTGTTCCATATTTTTCTCTCTCTCTCTCTTTTGGCTTTTTCATTATATTTCTTCATATTAACTTTATTTATAAGCATTTACTTGTTTATAATTACAATACACATTTTTAACTAATCCTAGTGTATTTTTTGAAATGTTAGATTCAGTAGGTACATTGATAGGTTTGTTATATTTTTTAATCTCATGAAAATATGCTCTTCACTTTGAAAATGTGAATCAATCGTGGCAGGAGCTAGGTCCAGTCTTAGTTACAATAGTGAAAATAGCATGAAGCACACGGTGCATTTTAAGGAAGCCACATGCAGGACTTGCATTGCCAGGAACAGCTGTGAGGTACAAATAACTCCATTTATAAAGGCTGAAGATGAACCTTGAAGAGTCAGCAATAACAATAAGCTGGACTTAAAAATGCAAAATATATAAAAAGTCAAAGGCCTCAGAAAAGTTCACCTGGTCAAAAATAATCAGCCTCAAGCCTCAAAGAATAGATTTCTTTTCACTTTATTTTAGCCAGCAAGGAGATGCTAGTAAATCCTTGCATTTGAAAAGTGAACTCTGCTTTTCTAATGTGACCATGCCTCTACGGGCTACATTCTTTGAACTAATGACGTTGGTGTTTTTGAAAGTAAATGTTGAAAAGCCTCTCTGAAGTAGTATGGATTCAGCAAACATTTTATGTGTTAAACAGTTCTCTGCGATTTGGGGCGGTCAGTATAAAAAAAAAAAAAAAAAGGAGACTTTCAGAGCAAACAGATATAGGCAGAGGAGATGGACCTGACTTCACAGCCCCCAAAGTTCCCTTTTCTCCTCTTTAAGTCATGTTGGATTAGAAAAAAAAAATAACAAAAAATAAATCGATAAACAAGATAGTGCATGGTGGCTCATGCCTGTAATCCCAGCACTTTGAGAGACCAAAGTGAAAGGATAGCTTGAGGCCAAGAGTTTGAGACCAGTCTGGGGAACACATTTAGATCTCATGTCTACAAAAAATAAAGAAATTAGCCAAGCCTGGTGGCACCCCTGATGTCTCAGCTACTTGGGAGGCTGAGGTGGGAGATCACTTGAGCTCAGGAGTTTGAGGCTGTCATGAGTTAAGGTTGAATCTCTGCACTCCAGCCTGGGCAACACAGCAAGACCTTGTCTCTCTTAAAATACAAACAAACAAAACTAAGAAAGAAAAATTAAAAAAAAAAAAAAGAAGAAAATAAAAGTTACTCACCTACCCATACTTAATGTATTATAAGCATTTTTCTCATGTCTAAATATTAATCAGAAATATATTTTAGATCACTGTATCTAAAATATATTTTAGATGTATATATTTAAATATATCTAAATTATATTTAGATATACTGCTGAATTAAGCATCATCTATTCCAATTTAATACATAAACATAGAAAACAAAATAGAAAATCTAAGAAATAGTAATAGGAAAGAAAATAAAGATAAACCCCTTGGAAATAGTTTAAGTGGTGATCTATAAATATATTTTATAGATCACTGTAACAATTAAGAAATCATTCTTGACTGGATGTTTTTAAGGGATTTTTCATTTACAAGCGCATTATCAGTTTTGTCCCCTTTCTATTTGTTTTTCCTACCACTTCTAAATATTGGTGAAACATCAAAGTTCTTACTCCTTCCCTTTGTAAGACAATTTTTACTACTCATTTTTTTTTTAATTGGAAACTTCCATTGTTCATTCAACAGAGTGCAGAAATTCAACTGTAACTCATGACAGCCTCAAACTCCTGGGCTCAAGTGATCCTCCCACCTCAGCCTCCCAAGTAGCTGAGACTTCAGCGGTGCCACAAGGCCTTGATAATTTCTTTATTTTTTCTAGAGAAGAGGTCTCAATGTGTTGCC